GGCACAGGACCTTTAAAGATAGAAATTACAATGGCAGCTGTAGGACAAAGTATGCAGGAGGAGTAGCGTGGCAACGTGGAAGAAGACGGAATAAGTTGAATAATAAAGAGAAACAGGAAAACAATAGTGCACACTGATTACACGCTGATGCTTTGAAAAATATAATAATGTCAGAAACAAATCTTTTTTTCCAAACATGGTTTGGAAAATCAAACTAACATATACAACTGGATCTTCCCCGGTTCGAAAACAGAGCTGACAAGGATTTTTTTTCTTGTATCAATTCCCCACAATCTTCTGACGTTGTTTCATTAATGCCTACACAGTGTCTGTTCACGAGCCGCTCCCAAACCTGTCTTCCATTTTTAAAGTCGTACAAAAGGGAAGCTCTGCTACCTTTTGGGATCACTGGCTGACAAGATAATAATGGTGCTTAGATAGCAGGTTTCAAGGGATGAGGTCTTGTTGTCTGGGTGATAAAATGATACAGTAGGTTTACTGTGACTTGTCATGACCAGCCTATATGACAACTGGATTTCACAGCTCCTCATCAAAGTCCTACATTATCTCTAATGTGCACATCTTCAGTATATTTTTTAAATGTATTTAAAATCATTCTTTTATAATATTTTCATCTTTTGAATGATTTTTTTCTTGTCTCTTTTTATCCTGTTTTGGCAGACTTGCTAATATCCACTGGGCTTTTTTTTATTTCACATTCTGACAAATGGTGTTTWAATACCTCAAACAAAGGCAGATAATAAAAGCTGAATGTCAGATGCCTGCTACGATTTATCCATGTTTCTGTTGCAGTACCATTTCTGTTCAGAAATTGAACACTGATGGAAAGATGGTCATTAAAAATATCCTTTTGTCCTCCTCAAATGTTCCTYATGTCGCTACAATCAACATATATGCGATAGGATAAATAATAAATCGAGTAACTCACATAGTTTAGCAGAAAAATAAATGAGGCTGTCTTTATTCTTCACTGAGCTTCTGTGTATTCATTTCACAGGAATATGAAGCACCTTGTATAATAGCGAAACCATTGACATCTAATTGGTTTTCTAATCAGATGCTTCATTATCAAGATAACATTAACTAATTACAAACAGTAGCGTGGTCATTTTTAATCAGTCTTGCACACGTTTGCTTTTCAATGCAATCAATCATTAGTACGTTGATTATGATGATATCGTTGCTGAATGCGCTGGAAATGCAATCTGTTTGGATTCAAGTTTCATGCAGCAAACAGTTGCTCTGAACTGCTGACAGATAATATCATCGGAGCTCCTCAGTCATCCTATATTTTCCTAGACAAACTTGCAAACTGAGCTTTGAAAAACCTGCAGGCTGCTCATTAACGGAGGGTTAAAAAAATCTCTCCTCGTTCCTTTATTTAGTCCTGCCTTTTCCCATTAGCATACATGTCAAACAGTATCTCTTCCAGTTTGCCCCGTGGCGCTTTAGATCCTGTGGCCCTTAAAAAAAGTGGCTTCCTTACTCGGTGTGACTAAAATGAGCCAAATATTTTTGGAAAACCCATACGAGGGGTTAGCTGTGCCACAGCAAAAATGCCAGTGTTAATTTAACACCCACAAAGTTAATTTCAACACCAACCAAGTGTCGATAAGTGTCCACACTCACTGGTGTTAAAATAACATTTGTGAAAGTGTTAAATTTCAACACCCATTTTTTTGTTAATTTAAAACCAACAATACTTGGTGTCACATTAACATAAAAATAGTGTTAGTGTTAAAATTAGAGATGTGACGTTCGCGAACGATCCGAGTCTTTTGAACGGCTCTTTACAATGAATGATAGGAGCCGAATCACGGGCAATAATGAGCCATTTGTAGTTTTATTTCTTTTATTCCTCATATAATCTTTTTTTTTTGTTTTATATTTAAAATCATTCCCGCTTTGCTTTTTCATGGAAACAGGAGGAGTTGTGGAGTGCAGAAGCTCACGGTGAAAGGGGGGTTTCCGCTTGACAAACACATGGTTTCACCCACGTGATGCGATTACATCATTTCATAAAGCTACGTGATGATGTAATACGTTCAAAATTGAACGGGTCGATGAAACAAACGGCTCCCCAAGATCTGGATCCCTTCGAAGAGCCATTTATCCCATCTCTAGGTGTTATAAAGGATAACAGACACTACAAGGTGTCTATACACCATATATTTGAGTGTAAATTTAACACTCAGAGTTACTAACAAACTCTTAGTAGTGTTTCATTAACACTGCTCAGTAGTTAGTAGAAAAGTATGATGGAGTCACCCTTCACACACCAGGAAGTACCTCTCACTCATGGTGTCAATTTTTGGCCAATAACATAAACTTAAAGTTGNCACCCACGTGATGCGATTACATCATTTCATAAAGCTACGTGATGATGTAATACGTTCAAAATTGAACGGGTCGATGAAACAAACGGCTCCCCAAGATCTGGATCCCTTCGAAGAGCCATTTATCCCATCTCTAGGTGTTATAAAGGATAACAGACACTACAAGGTGTCTATACACCATATATTTGAGTGTAAATTTAACACTCAGAGTTACTAACAAACTCTTAGTAGTGTTTCATTAACACTGCTCAGTAGTTAGTAGAAAAGTATGATGGAGTCACCCTTCACACACCAGGAAGTACCTCTCACTCATGGTGTCAATTTTTGGCCAATAACATAAACTTAAAGTTGTACAACTTGATCAAACTGAACAAGAAAACAAACCAGAACAACAAATTTTTACTCTCATGAACGTCTTTAATAGTCATAAACATGCAAAAATGTCATTTCTGCAAGATTTCTCAGCAAGGAATGCTGGGTAAATACTAATCTGTCTGACGTGAGGTGGAAGAGGGCGGGGCTTTTCAGAATACTAATCGCTATTTCAATCTTTCTATCTTTCTAATTACTTCTCTCTCTGTTTTTCTCTCTGTCTCTATCTTCTCTTCACTTAAAAAAAGTCACTGATGATGAAGAAATAAGCAAACTAAATAAACTAATATTTGGTTTTGTTTTCTACTGAAGTCACAAAAAAAAAAAACAGAATACTGCTTTCAACACTGCATGGTGTCATATAACAACACTGTTAAGTGTTTTATAAGACTTAATAGTGGGCGGAGCTTATTTAACACTGTCCAGTGTTGAGACAACACTGAGGAAATCAACACTGTGAATTAACACCAACACTGGGTGTGAGTGTACTCAGAAAGTGTTAAAATAACACTAAGGGGTGTTAAATCAACACCCAAAAGTTTAACACTGACATTTTAACACTCCTGTTTTTGCTGTGTGTCGTGTGCTGCAGAGGAAAGAGGTTGTCCTTTTGTCTCATAGTACTTTTTTTTTTTTTACATTTCTGCCTGCTGTCCAGACGAGTTCCAGAACTTTGTGCGAAGGCTYCCAACCTTCTACGCCCTGAACACCTCCGCCGTCCAGTACTTTTGGAAAGCGGAGCCGTCCGTCCACCAGCGCTACAAACAGCTGGAGCTCAGCGCTCAGCAGCTCCTGAGCAAAGCGCGACGCATCGTCAACAAGCTCTTCGCCCTCAGCAAGAGGTGTCAAACTCAGCCAAAAATCATCACGCTGCGGGAGAGGTGAGCAACGGATACTGTGTGTGTGTGTGTGTGTGTGTGTGTGTGTGTGTGTGTGTGTGTGTGTGTGTGTGGCAGTGCTTTGAAT